CCCCAAAACCCCAAAACCCCATAAACTTAAAAACCCCAAAACCCCAAAACCCCAAAACCCCTTAATCCATGATAAGAGGCATAAAAATTAGTAAAGAGTTAATAAGAATTAAGAAATCAAAGATTATCTCAATATTTCGCTAAACTTATGTTTTAAGTCAGCATCTAAACTATTTATTTTTATTCACTTAATCAGGAGAGAATTATGTTAAAAGTTAGATTTGTTAGTTGTTAGTTATTCGGACCACCAGGTGTGCTTCCAGTTCCAATAAGCCCTACGCCAACTCCTCTAGATGTATCTGCCTAATTTACAGAAGAGTTACCTGTATTCATAAGATTAGCATTTTATGAGCCTAGAGCGGTTTAAAGATTTTAATTTGCTTTATTCCTACTAGTGTTTCGTTTACTTTGCTATTAATTTTATAATACCTTTGATGTATTTACGCTTTGACTCGTGTTATAAGTTAATGCACTATCATTGTAACTATACTACATTCTTTGATCAGTTGCTGAGATTTTTGAAAGATTAAGAGGTGGTCTGTTATCACTAAATCTTTTATCAACAGATGAGGGAAGATGACTTTTATTCGTCTATTATGGCTGTTATTAGCTTTAAGAATAAAAGAAATCATCTAAAGTGTGATTATTACTATTATTATTAACCTAACTAATGTATTTGCTATTTTTCTACTTTCTCTTCACTATCATATTGAATTTTTATATTTAAGTAGGCTTTGGTTTTCTCTAGAGCATCATATCTTGTAACCCTTCTGAAATTAACTGAGTATTATTGTAACTCTTCTATTAATCAGTGGATACATTATGAGGGCTTACACCCTAAGATAAGGGCTCTATTTTTTAACGTTAGATTTAATTAATTTGCTCACTAATCCTTGCTCTTTGATATATATTAGCGCTTGCATAGTTGGCTTCTTTTTTGGAAGGGCTTTAACTTTAAGCTAATGTCATGACATTGCCATACTCCTTGCTAAATATACCCATTCCAATTCCAGATTAATTGTAAGATTTTTACTATGTACTATTAACTCGATGTCTCTTCTTTTGTTCCTAACTAACACTACTATTATTTCTTTGATTAAAAAATTACTATCTATTATCACTGTTAGGTCCATAACTTAAACTTTCATTATTATTGAGTTAGTTTTATTCATCATAATTAACATAGTTTCTGTTATTTGCTGTATAAATATTAGAGGTTTTATTTAAGTCTAGCTAATCACGATACCTTCTTGTTGATTGCTGGGCAGTAAATCTTTCTCTAGTTTTTTTGATAACCTTTGGCTTCCTTTAAGCTAACTCAGAAGTATTGTGATAAAGCAATTAAGTCTAAGATTTATTTGGAGAGTCTTCTTCCTCATCATGTTCATCTACTGTTTCCTTAATTCCCCTAGTTACAGTATACTTTTATTAAGATGACAGCTATCTTTGATGATTAATTTAATGCTGCTACTATTGCTAGTTATAAAAAGTGGAATCACTAAAATTCTCTCCAATAAAAGAGTTATTATCAATTTAGCTTTTGCTGACATTGTTACTTTTTGATACTTTCTACTGATTTATTACTCATTTAGAGTTAGATCTAGGAAGACTTTACTCATCTGAGTATAAATTTTTATTAATTTAGCTCGTTAAAGATTAATCTAGATGAGATATTTTAGAAATCATTGATGAATTGCCATCGTCAGCCTACAGAAAATTTAACCTGAGATTGGATATAAGAATTAAACCTACATATTAGGAATTGAGATATTCCTTAAGGATAGTAAATGATCTACTATAAAACGGCTCTAGATACTTTTGTTTTTCAAGTAGATTTAGAGTTTTATGAATCTTTACTATCTTCTTAGCAAACATTCTCTCATCAAAGAACGCTATAGTAAATTTTGAAATGCTTTATTTTCTGAAATATCTTACTTAATTGATAAGCACTCAGCACTTTTTGCTAAAGTATTTCTATAAGTTTCTCTATTAACTTAGTATAGAAGGTTTCCTGTTATCTCGTTGCAAATCCTGAATATACAGACATCTTGTGCTTTTCTTGCTTAAATATATTTAAATTATTTAATGAATATTATTCAGTTATTAATCTACTTAAAACCGATTCATTTTAAATCTCAATCATGGGGTTTTGGGGTTTTGGGG